ATAACGCCAAGGTGTTATAAGGCGCGAAATCGGCAGAGCCAGATTGGTGACGCCTTGTAATTGCAGCGTCTTTAACCACAATTGCAAGACGGCAGCAGTTTGGTAGATGTGTCGAACTTTCCAAATTCCACGTGACGCTGCCAATAGTCCCTTACAGCGTGCGTCGAGCCCTTTTGGTCGCAAGGTCCCGCAACTTAAAAATTTTCTTGTAAGGGATCCTGGACAGCTAAGCATTACCTCGGCTGGAAAAATAACTTCTTTACAATGTTATGGTAATGTTCATTTATCAGAGTTTATCAAATACGGCTCCAATTAATTGCTGATATTTTTATTTCTTCGACCAATGCAAAGAATTTTTTTATACATGTCGACCACTAAATTTTTATTTTTGTATGTTATAGTTTCTTTGGTTTTTGTTATAGTCTTTAAATTTGTGTAAATATCGTATGCTTTGACGCCCTTGCGACCGACACAGGATGTCGTCACTAGTGAAGGACGGTAAGGTGTAGTTTCACGGAAAAGAAAAGATATAGACGTTTAGTCGAAGTTCAGCTCAGCCGCGACGGCATACAGTAGCTAATACCAAGCGGTGAGTTAATACTGTTTAAGCAACGTTTGGTGGTGCGCAATTGTGCCGCCCGGGGGCAAATGTCTGTGTGCGGAGGTGAGACAGTGGGGAATCCATTTCGATGGGAGCGGGGACCCTAGGTTGACAAAAATGAGTGAGGAGCCATTGGACAACCTAATACCAATGTTACGCAGGATCCTCAAGGGCGAGCACTGATGTGGCATCGCACGCGACGCGAACCGAGGAGTTGCTCAAGGCGACTTCTGCACAATCGAGAAGGTTCGCACGGTAGATGAGTTCACCCAGGCGCTGGTGCGACGAGAGAAGTTGAGGCAAGCGAACGCACAAGCGCTTGTCCTCGCGGGAGTCCCAGGATCACAGCCTCCAATGGCACGCCTGGTCTATGCCAACGAGACGGAGCCATTTGTTTCTTTACAGGCAATACAATCAACGCGGGCATAGGTAATAGCTGCAGGTCCTGTGTCGCAAAGCCCACTGGCTCGCCGAGGACTGCCCTGCAGGCGATGCGGAATGGCGGGGCATGAAATTCCAGCGACTCCACTGTTGGGATTGTGGTAGACTAGGAGTACTGGCGAACGAATGCTGCCGCCGTAGGTGTTCGTCACAGCAGCAAAACGCACGCGGGCGATGGTGTTGAGGGTGGACTGCGAGGATCTGTCCCGCGATGCTCTGGTGGATATCGGAGCCACACGTAGTCGCATGCCTGCATTAGTGCATTGAGTGAGGAGGCAGCAGCGTAGTTAAACGTTTTAATCCTTCCGTGAATGATTGAGTGGAGGGGAAGCGGAAAAAGCGGAAGCATGGTGATGTAGGTGCCCCCTCCCTCAAAGGAGCACCAAAATAGTACAAAAATATACAATTTATGTAATTACAAAAAGACTTAAAATTAGGGTCACAAAGTTTGCATAAATAGGAAAGAGTGTATAAATATGAACAGTATGAGGAATTTTAACATTTAAATGAAGAAAAGTTTAACTATATGCCATTAAACGTTTACAAAATGTTAGAATAAGTTAAATTAAGAAATTTTACGTAAGAGTGAATTTATATAAGAATTGTGTAAAAACTTAAATTTTAGGATCGACGAGTAAGCAGGACCAGGACTGGAAGCGGAAACAGAAGCTCCAACGGTTGTAGTAGCCGATTTTCGGGTACCCGGCTCAACCAAGGACAGAGCCGCCTTATATGGGCCGAGAAATCCGAGCCGTGAAGCGTTTCTTTGTTTCAGCACCATGCGGATTAAGTTCCGGATGCCATGGGAAGAAGTATAAGTTGCCGGGGCCAGAGTAATGGCCATAGATGACCAAAGTGAATTTTATTGCTCGATGATGAATGCTCCAGCACAGAATGACCAGGTGAGGGAACGAGGCTCCAAAGGCCGCATCAGGTTGCCCAAGAATTTCCAAGAGTGATGAAAAAATTTTTTTTGTAGGTTTATCAGTTGGTAAGTATTTGTTTATATAAATAGATATGAGTAGTTATTTCTTAATTATTTTGTTAATTAATGCAGATTTTAGGTATTTAATTATTTGATATTATACTGATTTTTTATGTATTTACTAGCAGGTATTGCCCGTCGTAACCCGGCTCAATATGTTTCCAATTGTATTTATTTTGTGTGTGCATAACCTACCCATATGTTTTCACCTTAAAGGTTACCAGTAGGAAGGCATTTAAGGTATTTAAATGAACATTTTCTGTTCTTGACAAAAAATTGCCACGATCAAAAAGCACTGGCACCGATACCATCAAAATATCGAAGTTTGAATGCAATAAGCAGAATATTTAAATAACAAAATCTAATTATTTATTGACATCAATAAGAACAAATCATATACATACATACATCTGCCCGCAATGCGAAGCAGAATATGCGTAGCTCCGTTATTCGGTTTCTGCTTTACTATCGCTTACGCAGTCGTTGCCTAGCGACGGTAACTGTAACATTTTGGCGTTTTGTCTTTGCAATTAACATTAAATGGTCAAAACGAAAGAAGAAGAGCGAGCTAATGACTTGCAGTTGTTGTTGTTTTTAGAGCATTATTTTTTTTTACAATCAAACAACTGTGTTCGATTGCCCAATGTATACATTAATACGAATGTACATACATGATGTATTCATACACAGGCATACATACATACATATGTATATATGTTTCTCTTTACTTTTTCAACCGTACGTAGAGAACCGCACACATAGACACGAACTGTTGCTTGTTGTGTGTGAGTGTGTGTATGTGATGTCCCCAACTATTTGATATTTGTTGTTGCTGCATAAAGTTATTAATGAAAACACTAATGCCAAATGCACTAAACTCTTTGTTTACTTACTTACTTACTTTTAAAAATGTTATATTATATAATTTTCAATTAATTAACATTTCTTGCTCTGTCAGTGCAAGACGAATGTACATACATATATATGTAGATACATATGTACATACATAGATGTGCACATATGTATGGACATTCACACATTAGTGTCTCACATGTTGCTTTGGCTATTTCAATCGTTTGCACGCAACTACACGAACAGCTGTTTGTATGTGTGTGTGTGTGTGTGTGCGTGTGTGTATGTATACTTAGTTGTCCCCAACTGTTTGATATTTTGTATTGTTTGTTCTGCCTGCTTTTGTAAAATGCCTATTTTGAAAATCCTTGAATGCAAAGTTGTAGATTTAGTTACGTAGATTACATTATCCAAATTTTAAATCGATCGGACTAAATTTATAACACAAACTTTTCATTTGAAATAGTGAATAAATATTAAAACCCCAGTAATTCAAGCTCCAACACAAATTTCGAAAATCCGAGTATGCAGTTTTGTTTGTATCCTTTAATTGATTTTATAAACTAAGTTTTAAGTCGATCGGTTGAAAAGTGCGGATTTTTCAAACAAACTTTGGAGCTCGTTTTCCCCCCTTTGGAGCTCGAATTTTCCAAAATCCCTTCTTAGTGCTCATCTACACCATGATAGGATACTTGAGCCCAAATTTCAGCATCCTAGCTTTTACCGTGTGGGCTGTGGGCTGTTGACGCGGTTTCCTTTTGTGCCCCAAGAAAACCCCAATAATTCAAGCTCCAACAAAAAATTTAAAAAACCGAGTATGCAGTTTTCTTTGCATTCTTTAATTGATTTTAGAAACTAAGTTTTAAGTCGATCGGTTGAAAAATGCGGATTTTTCAAACAAACTTTGGAGCTACTTTTCCCCCCTTTGGAGCTCGAATTTTCCAAAATCCCTTCTTAGTGCTCATCTACACCATGATAGGATACTTGAGCCCAAATTTCAGCATCCTAGCTTTTACCGTGTGGGCTGTGGGCTGTTGACGCGGTTTGCTTTTGTGCCCCAACATTTTTTTTACATGAAAACTCCCATATTTTAGGCCCCCAAAAAATATCAAAAAACCAAGTATACAGTTTTTCTTGGAATTGGAGTATACAAACTAAGTTTAAAGTTAATCAGATGAAAACTGTAGATTTTTCATACAAACATTGGATCCTGTTTTCCCCCCTTTGGAGCTCGAGTTTTCCAAAATCCCTTCTTAGTGGGGACCTAGACTATGAAAGGATACTTGAGTCCAAATTTCAGCTTCCTAGCCTTTACCGTTTGGGCTGTGCGTTGATCACCAATCAGTCAGTCAGGACAAACTGTTTTATATATATAGAGATTAAGGAGTTATTTATTTGTAGTGTAAATTGTAGTTTAATGGTATGATTTAATGAAGCTGTTGTATGTGAATGTTAATTTGTGAATTAAGAGTTATTTTGTTTTAACGAGACGTGGATATGTTAAGAACTGTTGTTAGGTATGTATATTAATAGTTTATGTAATGTAGTAGTAAAATTACTAATTATTGCATGAAGATGTAATTTGATTAATATTTGAATAAGATTTAATTAATATTTTATTTGTAATTTTTAAGAAGCGTCGGCTGCAGGTCACGACCTACGGCAGAAAAGATGGCAGCATGGATTTCTTTGCTCCGCTATGGATACTCCAGGTGTGGTGTCAGGTCCAGAGAACAAGGCTCCATCAACAAAACCGCATCAGGTGGCCCAAAAATTTCCCAAGCGTGATGAAAGCAAGGAGGGTTAAGATTTTAGTTTATTAATTGATTTGTATTGTTAATTTGTATGGAATGTGAAAAGTTATTATTATTTGAATTAGCGTAAATATTGTTTGATAAAATGGAATTTGATGAATATATGTAGTTTAATAATATGATTTGATGAAGCTGCTGTATAAGAATGATAATTTGTGAGTTTATGAGTTATTTATTTTGATGTGACGTGAATATGTTTGAACTGTTGATATGTGTGTAAATTAAAAGTTTGTGTAACGTAATTTATAAAATACCAAATTGTTACTTGTAAAGTTTTATATAAATAATTTATTTATTTATGTTTCAGCGCCATATAATGTTGGCTCCAGACACTGAAGAAGGGCAGCATACAAGACGTGAGCAGGGCCATAAAGTTGCCGAGATGGACCTCGAAATAGAGACGAGCAAACCAAAACTCCAGGCAGAGGCTCCAGATGAAACGGTGTTTGGCTTGTAGGCGAGACGGAGATTTGGCGAGATTCTATCTATTTATTTATTAAAGTAAATTTAAGTATCTGTTTTTATTTGAATTAAGTGAATTTTTGAGGCAGTTGTTATATACTGTGAATTAATAATTTATTTGTTGTAGATTATAGTTAGTTATAAGCATGATTATTTAAGTTTGTACCAATGTTATGTATTAATATTTCGTTTGTTACTAGTTGCAGAGAATATATATGCACATTCCGGATGTCAAGAGAAGAAGCGTCGGCTGCAGGTCACGAATCTTCGGCAAAACAGATGACAGCATGGCTTTCTTTGCTCCTCCGCTATGGATACCCCAAATTGTTATTAAAGTGCGCCGTTTGTGTTTTTGGTTTGGAGCCTATATCAGTAATTAATTTTAATTAGTATAGTCTGTACTTGAAATGTACAGGAGTATATTAAGATTGCGCGAGCTGAAAAATGTAACAGACAGAAGATGGGCGCCGCTGTGGAACAGCGAAGCAGCCATCACACCACCAAACCTCTCAGACAGCCACCAGCCGGCCGTTATGTAGGTACAAGAGTATATTAGGTTTGTGGGAAGTGAAAAATGTAACAGGCAGAAGGAGGCGTGGCTGATCCCACAAAGTATATATATTCTTGATCAGCATGACAAGACGAGTCGATCTAGCCCTGTCTGTCTGTTTAAGTGTTTGTTTAAGTTCTGTTTGGCTCTCTTTTGTTACCCCATCTCACCCATCAAACAAATTTTACTCCAGATTCATAGTTAACTTATATTTGTTTACATTCATGTATTCATTTGCACATTTGGGACGCTGCAGCTATCTTAGGCTCTTTGTGCCAATATCGACTTCATAATTACTGAACCTCCTAGTCTACCTATACTCGAGCATTAGGCTTTCTGTTCGGTACGATTAGGGACAATTTCAAATTGGAAGCGTGCACAGCCTCAAGCTAGACAGTAATGATTTTTTCAAAAATTACTTAATCCTATTTTCGTTTTTTTCTTTCTTTATGGTTTTAATTATACATATTTTGCGTGCGTTGCATGTAGCTGCAATCAATGTTTGTTTTTTACATTCTTGTTTCTACAATTATGAAAATGTAGAGGGGTAGATGCCGTTTGGTAGCCAGATGCGAACAAATTTGGAGTCGTTTGATTTTATGCAGAGTTTATTTCCTTTGAATAACTTCACAATAAGTATACCGGTCGAAATCGCGATCCGCCAGCGACAGGTGCGCGAAGTGGTGTCGGACTGACTCGCCCATTGCAGCTGATGGAGTCCGGTACTGGACCTTAGCCTCCAACTTCAGGATCACCTCCAGTTCGGTGGAAGGGCTGTGCTAGGATCGCACAATAGCTGAGCAAGATTTTTCGGACCCAATCGGGACACTGGCCAGCTTTAAGGAAGGAAGGATTCGCTGATATGGCTGAACGAGCTGCAGGAGTCAATCAGCACGCGTACGTCACACCACTTCTGTCCTGAGCCGATTTGGATGACAGCGGTGGGCATGATCAGCGTTTTCCGGTGCTGGAGACGAGAGGAGAGAGACAGAGCCTGTGGGATAGGTCGCGAGGACGGTGCTTTGGCGGAACGCCTTGGGGGCGTGCTTGCACGTTCTCGCCTGTGTTGGCGCGATGAGCGCTCGCCGGCGATCGGCGCTCTGGCGGACCGCCTGGGAGGGGTGCCTGCACGATCGCATATGGTCCTAGGGCGTGCGGGCTTGTGCATGTGGAGCAAGGTGTGGTGGTCCTTCTCACAGATGCGGCAGCGGTCACCGCTGCAGCAATCATTCCCGGAGTGCTCGTGGGCCAGGCAGTTAGGGCAGTACTGACCAATCAGCCCTGCCCGGAGCCGCTTTTCCGCGTTCATCCGAACGCTGACACTTCCGAAGTGGATGCACTCCCCGACAGACTCAGCAGCGAAACGAGTCCACTCCTGAGCGACGCTTGCGCTCGTGCGACCGGCTCTTTCGTGATGCTATAGATATTAGGAAAGAGCTGCACGAAAAAGCAAAGAAAATCTTTAGAAAATCATGCATGGAAACGGACGTTATGAGTCATTGGACAGTGGAGCTGTCCTCGATCGGAAGTAGGACTAGTTTAACGATGGGCCTTTTGATGGTGCCTCGTGCAGTTCGGATGTCAACTACACGGATACATCAGAACCAGGAAATGCGTCTTGAACACGGCCCAGGCGCCATTCATTGGGAGGAACGTTATCTTCCTTTATGACCACCATGTCACCTGTTTGGAGATTCCGCGCGGGCTGTTGCCACTTGTTGCGCTTATGGAGCTCCTTGAGGTATTGCTTTTTCTAACGAAAACAAAACTGTTGGTGAAATGCCTTAAGACGTCGCCAACGGTTGACAATGGAGACTGCGTCCTCTTGGATTTCTGGCTCTGCCAAGGAGAGAAGGGGCCCACCGGTCAGGAAATGGAGTAAGAGCCAGCAGGTCAGTGGAGTTCTCGGACATAGGAGAGATTGGGCGTGGATTAAGGTACGCCTCAATCTTGCAGAGCAGCATGGATATTTCCTCGAATGTATATTTGAGACCGGATGTGTCTTTGTAGAAGAGCTTTGTAACTCTATACACCGTCCTTCTACAATCCACCCATATGTGGAGCACCTGGTGGAATGAAATGCTAGGAGAGGATCTGTTGGTGATAGGACGCAGTTATGCAAGCTCGTGACGCCTCAAGGAAATCGCGGTCTAACGCCATGGCCGCTCCGACAAAGGTCGTGCCGTTGTCAGATTGGATTTGCGTTGGACATTACCGTTTAGTGCTGCTAAGTTCGCTGGGCCGTTGGGGACGAGTCTTCCGGCATCGTGGGCTCAAACGAAGAATGTACGCTGTGACCCGAAAAGCTTTGCCGAAGTCAGAGAATCACTCGAGGAAGTCCGCAACTGGTGGCACCTTCGCAAAATGGTATCTAATGGTGCGCTTCTCCATGTCGGTGTCAAGCATCGGGAGACCCAAACGGGGCCATTGTGCATGAGGTTGCTTGAGTCAATCAGGGCCATGCCACCACAAGGCACTGGTCCACAAGTCCTGTGGAGACGTAACTCGGCTTGCCAAATCTGCCGGATTGTGCTCGGATCGCACGTGTGACCACTTCTCTGCGACGGAAGCAATCCTCGCCATCTGAGGTTGTCCAAGTGCAAGCTGGTTTGCTGAGCCAGGTCAGCACAATAGTCGAATCCGTCCAAAAGAAAGTGTCGTAGCTGCTGAGGGGAAGATTCGGCAGGACGGCTGCAGCCATATCAGCCAAAAGAAACGCACCGCACAGTTCCAGCCATGGTAAGGACACAATCTTAACCGGAGCGACCCTTGTCTTGGCTGTGAGGAGATGCACTCACACTTCGTTGCTGAATTGCACCCGGACGTAAAATGCGGCTCCATATGCGAGTTGGGAGGCGTCACAAAAACCATAAAACTGGAAGGATGATTGGGATTCATAATTAAGCCATCTCGGTATTCGGATGTGGCTAATTTGAAGGTAATCTTGCAGGAACTCGTTCCATTGATGATGCAACTGAGGAGGCAACGGGTCGTCCCACCCAATCTAGCTCAGCCAAAGCTCCTGCATGAACATTCTCGAGCGCAAGATAAAGGGAGCCAGCCAGCCCGCTAGATCTAATAATTTAGCGATGTGAGAAAGGACCTCGGATTGGAGTTCAACCTTGGGAACTATAAAGAAAAATTCATCTGTTGTGGCTTTCTAACGGACTCCTAAGGTTTTTGCTGTGCTGGGGTCTTCGAGATCCAGAAAATCGACGCACAGCATGTGCTCACGAGGCACATCTCGTAGCAATTCCCGTTTTTTGGACGTCCACTTTCTTAAAGGAAAGCCAGCGGTGCCAAGAGCTGCCCGCAGCTAATAAATGGTCGACACCGCGCAATGGATTGTATGGGCCCCCACTAGTATGTCATCCACGTACATAAAGTTGGATATTATTTGGCTCGCTTGCGGATATTGTGTGTGGATGTCTTTGGCAAGTTTTTGTAAGACTCGAATGGTCAAAAAAGGGGCGCAATTCATACCAAAGGTGACTGTGCTCAATTTGTAGGCACAAAGATCACCATCTTGGTTGCGGAAAATAATTCTTTGAAACGGCGTGTGTTTGGGATCTACAGGAATCTGACGATACATATTCGTGATGTCTGCGCTAAACACATACTTGAAAAATCGCCATTTCAAAATTTGCATCGTCAGATCGGATTGCAAATCCGGACCTGAGTGGAGAAGAAGGTCTTGAGCCGTTGAAAATTACCCGAACCTTGGTAGTGGTACTGTCAGGCTTGAGCATGGAAACGTGAGTGGAAAACGAAGCCAGAGACTGGACTGAGCTCTGGGTCACTGGACCACTTAGGATCCAGCCAAAAATCGACTCCTGTCCAAGGAGAGTGCCATAAATATTCTTCTTGAAGCCGCCTAAAGGAATGGATGGGAGGATATCAGCGCCAATCAGCACGTCAATCTGCGAGCTTCTGTGGAACATAGGGGCAGCTAGCTGAATATTTGGCAGGTCCCTCAAGCGATCTTTAGGAATAGTGTAAGAGGGGAGATTTCCTGCCAATTGCGGAATCACAAAGGCTGAGATCTCGACGTGCAACCTTGGCTTAGTCCGTGTCGCGAGCGTAAAATGGCAGAGCTTGTGCGCTTGGGCGGAAACAGCTTGGTTAAGTCCCGATACTTGGGCTTGCACCGTTTGGAATGGAAGCTGTAGGCGATTAAAAGTCGCTCGGAAATAAAAGTATCCTCTGATCCAGAATCGATCAGAGCTCGTGCTGAATAATTGAATTGATGCCCAGCAGGACATTTTTGGAATTGGTAACAAAGTGAGTACAAAGTGGACACTTGCTTGCTGGCTATCGGATGTGGACTGCATATGTGGAGTGGAGGGCTGAGCAGCGGGTATAGCATTGGACGCAGAGTATGATGGCAACTCTTACACGTTAAATAAGTGTGCGCGCTGCTACACTCTCGTAGCTGATGCCCTCTCGCAAAACAATTTAGATACAATTTCATCTGTTTGATGCAAGCAATCCGGTCGGTGATGGACATTGCTAGAAAACGAGGGCACATTCGGATGGCA